ATCTGATTCTTTGATTTACTATCGCGCAAATTATTCCGATCAATACATGAAAACAACTTAAACTTGAAACCAATTTTATGCGAATAATTAGTTTATTGCCTTTTATGACAGCGCTTTGCTCAATTTAAAAGCAACAAATCTCTTTTTTTTGCAACGCTGTAATATGGATTTGTACGCCACAGCCGATGAGGTGCAGCAGCTAACGAGCGAACAACAACAAGATATACAGCAAGTTAGTCAACCAATCAACCCACATTGCACTGAAAACAAAAACACTAAGAAAAAAACTCTAACTAAAATTGTGATGAAACAAAGTGACACCGAGTCGACGGCATTACTGGTTTAATAATGATTTATAAATTTTTGATATGTCCAATTCAATTTTGTAGCGTATCAGTTACACAGTTTAACTCGCATACTTACAAACAATGTATGTAAAGCAGCCATTGTCAGTGGCCGCACAGCCAAATGTACGTAAATAGTTGCCCCAAGTCAGCTGCATATAATGAACACAATGATTAAATTACCATAATTAGGCGCGCTAATATCGTTGACGCTATAACCGTAGCCGACCGATTGTACACCGAGGTTACTCACACTCCCCAGTGACCAATTGCGGCGGCCAAACGACTACATAGCCGCCTTAAGGTCCAACAAAGGCTAAATGGCGAACAGGCGATGGCGGCGCTTAACTATTGTAGTTAAGTAATAATAATTCAATCAGCCAAACAAAAGCATTGTGGAAATGTAAACAAATGAGCCACTAAAAATATACATATATGCATATGTAGGTAAGTACGTACGTAAGTTTATTCAACACCTCCAACATATTTGGTATAGTAGACTGTCTATTATTTGAACCAATCAACGAATGCTATAACTGTTAAAAAAAACTTTGCACTGGAATTAATGGATATGAACGAAATATTAACCCAATAAAAAATGTAAGCTAGAACGATTGCAACAAGGATTTATACATATCCAGTTGCATATCTCCTTGCTTTTCATTATCTTTAATGCTCTGTCTATATTTTAACTGACTATTTAGCTATCTATTCAATTCTGCAAGAGTTTACTGTTCAACACTTAAATATATACGCACATGTGTGATAATACATACAGGGTGGGCCGAATAAGACCTACCAATGTTAAACACGTATAACTTCTTTAGTTTTTAATACTATTGTTACTTGCTTTCGGCATGTTATAGTTAACCTCTTGGAAAATCATAATGGAAACTTACTGCAAGACCCTAAAGTGCGCTATGCGTTTTACATGATTAGCAACAGATACGCTGTTTGGTGCGGTGTTAAGGCCGACAAAGTTGTCCGCCCGCCCCTTATTTCTTCGAGAATGAGGATGAAACGCCAGAAACGATTTCTGGGGCTTCTTACAGAACAATGATTGAAAACTTTTTGCGGCCAACGGTTGTGGTTCCAACCAGATGGAGGGACTGCTAGGCAAACTATGGACCTGCTGCGTGAAATTGGTAGGTCTTATTAGGCCCACCCCGTAGTACTCATAATATACTACTTATTTTAGCATTAACCGGCACTTAGGACGCTTAATCATTGAAATATTGAAAAACTCGCTCAAGTGGCAAATGGGAACGGCTGTATTTAAATAGTAAACAAACAAAAGATATCTAGCTGTCTGTCACTCAAAGCAGAGATATCTATTTGTAGCACTTGGCCATTTGTATATTATTTATTTGCCTCATTCTCGCATAGTATTTCTTTGGGTTTTACGCAGGCGTGGGCGAATTTCCGTATAATGTCTTAGTGGCCACCTGTGTTGCTGCTGGCCTATTCACATCGCTCTGGTTATTATGGACTTAATTGTATGGCGCCTTACACTTACATACATACACTCACTTGCGCTAAATATTTACTTAAGTGGAGGTAGATTGGTTTTGTTTTGATTGCAAATCTTGACACCGCTGCCTACCATATAAGAAGGTATTTGCGAAGAAAAAAAACAGGCCACTTTTCTAATGCCGGATAACAGTAAAAGTAAAAGATAAAATCAAAAAACATAGAAAGTATTGGTATTGCTGGACTTTCCCGTGTTTTGTGAGTTATTTATTTGTGTGTTTTCCGCATTAGACTCACCCAAAATATACTAGGTGTGCCTATGTACATACATATATGCATGTGTCATATTGGAACACACATCACTGTAAGCAGTTTGTTACTTAGGATCCCATATAAATATCGTTAGATAATAATATCCACATGAAGATGAAGGTTAGGTTAGGTTTACTTGGCCGATGCATAGACCAATTACTAGTTCTCCTTGGCAAGAATTTTCCGATTCCTAAGCACCTCAGAAGCTTCATCAATGTTACTACATTATGCTTGCCGGGAACATCTCTCTACTAATTGGTTTTACACATACGCAAAGATTTCAAAGATTTTATGCATACGCCCGCCTGGTAACTTCATAATCAGCACATTTAGCCACCTTGAAGAATAACTTGACTTCTCTCCCCTGTGTGCGAATTAGCTAAATCTACCCCACGTCCCAAATCTGTGTTTTGGCCTCGAAGGTAATATGATAAGAGCTACCTGGAATATGGAGATCAAACAAAGTACTTATACAAACATGTGCTACTTCAGCCTCGCTAGGCAATTGAGAAAAATAAACCTCCACAAATCTTTTATCGTATCCGTTCTTTTGTATAAACACTTAAGGCTATTAGCCTTATGGTATATTTGGAAGTGCCCGAACAGGATTAAATTTTGAAAAAAAAAACGGACAAAACTTATACTTGCTTACTTACAGATTTTTAAGCTACTTTTCTAAGAGTTTTTTTTTACAACGCTTTTATCAACTTGCAATGTTGTGTGTCCTGAAACTTTCAATGTTGTGGATCCAGAAACTTTCAATGTTGTGTGTCCGACACCATAAAAGCTTTGCTTTGAAAAGTTCCACTAAAAAAGCATAGTGCATAGGGCGACATCTGTAGTGAATAGGGCGAGGTAGATGACATCTAGATGTCGCCCTATGTACTACGTTTGCTACAGCGGAAATAGACGACACGCCATTTCTTTAAATAAAATTAATTGGTGCTCGTTTGTATGTACATACATATGTAAATGCATGTGTGTGCACCTTTCTATTAATATCGTTGAATTATTTTAATATCTATTGCAAAATTTTATTCAGACAGGACTAAAAAGTAGAAAATAAATAATATAAAAAAAACTTTTTAATATACAACGCTTTTATAAATGGA